CCTGAAGAAATTTCAACGAAGCTTCCGCGAAATCGACGTGAGGGATATCTCTCTCTTCTTAGACACGCATCGCATCCGTTGAATATGCATGACGAGCTAATGCGAAAATGCTTGAAAAGTACGGGGGAACTCTCCATTGACGTACGCAAGGAAAGAGAGAGAGAGAGAAAAGGGGAGACAGGAATTGCGACTCGTTTTTCAACCGGAAGTCGCTTCGTTTGAAGACGACCGGAAAGGATATACCGAAGTGGAGGAAGTCGATGTTCGCCGCGGCGCGATGTTATCTCCCCGGTTAGGGCGGGCGCCCTCTCTGTCCACGGACGACGTAATTAGGGCAATTATGTTGAAAAAGACGTTCGTCGAAATTGCCGAGCGTCGTATCCAATTTTCGTTTAGACGACACTGACGAAGATCGACGAACGAAGGAATCCTGGTACCAGTGTAATTTTGGCTTTGCTCTCTCTTTGTACAGCGGAACGTAATTAGGGCAATCATGCCGGGAAAAGCCGCCTTAATGGAGTACGATAAAACGAAGAAACGAGATATCGGCCGGAATTTTTTTTACGCTCATCGCCCTCGTCGCGTAGCGGCGGCGTCGCGCTGTGCCGGACACCGATCGATGAAATTCACCGCGGATAGAAAGAAGAAGGATGAGGAAAAACGGGGAAAAAGTCTAATTCGGGCCGGCTATGACCAATAAGCGACGGAATTTTTACGACACCCTGTTATCGATGAGTGCAAACACGAGTCTGGCCGTCGGCCAACCTCCGCGAACACTTTCCTGCACGGTCGACCCTCGCATGCCCGACGGTTAACGGCCGTTTCAAAGGATAATTCTCGTAGGAGCGACGACCGAGCTGGTCTCGCGATATCCAGCATTCTTTTCCCTCGGACATCGATAAGCCTGGCCTGGGAAAAATTGGGTCGACGACCGATTCCGATTTCCGTTCTCGCGAAATTTTATATCACGGGATAACGAGCCGCGCTCCAGTTCGATTCGATGAGGAATTCGTTTAAACGAGAATTGAAACGCGCCACGTCATCCTCGCGACCGGGCAAACATTGAGCCGACAACGAATAATGATCCCTCCCAGAACGGGCCGAGGCATGTCGATCAAAAATTTTCGACTCGAATCGAAATAGGTCTGCAAACAATCTCGTCGTCGCGTGCACGTCATTTCCCTGGTTAATTAATTGACAATGCGCGCGAAAAAACAGAGTGAATTTCGAAAAACCTTGCTGTTTACCGGCCGATTTGCCAGTTGATTCAGTCTCGTGATTGTTCATTTATCGAGATGCCTGATTCGTTATGATAACAGGCGCGACGTTAAAAAAACGAAACGAGAATATCGTCACGGGTTTAATAGAATCGTTCGATCGCGACCAAAGTGAAATGCCAGACAGTTTAACCCGCTTCGATCGGCTATTTAGAGGCGAACACGCATAGCGGAACTTCCGGCGCCGCGTGATAAGCATACTTCGTTCCATCCGATTCACTTCCGCGGACGGTATGCGGTCGCACGTAGGGACACTATCAAACGTTCCGACTCTAACGCTTATTGGTTTTCCTAATTATTACCGAGCCGCATTCCGGTCGTTGATCGAATCGTTCGTGCATCGCTTCCCGTATCGAAACGTAATCGAGCTACAGTCGTATCCGACAAAGATCATCCCGAAAGCTTAAAGATTCGAAACGGAATGGCAGGATACAGTATTCCCTCGGATTGAAAATCCAATCATCGTTCGAAACGGTCCGATTGCCAGGAAACAGTTGGAAATGGCAAAGAAATTTCACTCACAATCCCGTGGAATACAAAGCGTCCGATGTACCAACGAATTAGACCTCTGTTCTCCAATTTTTTCTATCAAAATTGCGATTCTCATCTCATAATTACTTTCGCATGAGAAATTTTAAACATGCTATTATAAAAATAACCGCAATGAGATAGCGTTCCAAGGTAGAGAATCTGAGAATTAGAAGGTAGAAATTAGCGCGAAGACCGTACCTAATGCTGAGAGCGTAAGCAGAACGACCGGTCGCTAAGATCGACATCGGGAAGTTTGTTACGCGGTGCACCATTATTATCACTTAGAGACCGCGTCACGGCGACGGCGAAATTTAAGGAATCGTTAAACGGACGTGTGCAGTATCTCGAATCAGACGAATGTCGAAATTTTACTCGGATAAGAACGAATTGAGTCTTTCGAGTCAAGCGGTATCTTTGCTCTCGTCGTAATCGTTATCGTAGAACGAAATTAACGGAACCGGCCCATTAGTCGTTTCGCCCTAATCTTCGTTGCAGGGACCTCGGGGGTGGAAAAAGGGAGAAACGAGAGGATCGGAGGAGTCTGGAAGTTAATGTATGCGGCAGTGTAGCGACGTTAATCGACGAGAATGTTTAGGTAGCCGGTTTTGATCCTTGCAAACTTTCCGAATTATCGGTCGACGAGTAGAGAGAAGGAACAGACAGAGAGAGGAGCAGCTGAAGGCTGGAGGATGCACGGAAGCATGGACCGCTCGTTTGGTTACCTAATTCCGTTCGAAGTTAAATTCCCCTCGCACCACGTTCAAAGTGCATTCAGCCACCGTGCGGTGCGATTCGCGGCAAACGGTCGGGCAGATCCATCTCTGATTCAGGTCAGATTTGTTGGACTAACAATACCTACACGCTCGCTCTGTCTCCGTTGGTCTCGCGCGGTTCCGCATCAAAATTCCTTTGTGTCACGAACCGACGATTCAGCCCGAAACATTGTCGAATATTTTCATAACGAATTTGATAATCAACGACGCAAGGACAATCGAGGAGAATTCAATGCGATCCACGATGACTGAAAAAGGTCGCTGACGTATTCCCGTTGGAAGTTGGCTCGGCAAATATTTAGTTGTATCTCGGTAAATGTATGCCCAGTGAAGAATCAACAGCAAACAACATTACAAACTCAAATATAACGCACGGTATACAACCTCCTCTCGCGTATTACACACAGCAATGACCTTTTACGACTAATTACAAAAATGGGACGCCGCGCTGTTCGCCGAACCTGAATATAAACGCGTTAAAACGATGTCGGAACGATTAACGCCGCGTCGGATCCAGGTATTATATCAACGTGAAATCAATTACTCACGTGTCGGAGCAACGTTAATGAAAAGCTTCGTGGGACTTCGAAGCAGAGTTCGCAGACGCGTTTAAAGTTACCCGCATTGTCACGTGCAAGAAAAGTTTCGAGCCGCGTGTGAGTTTCTTAATCGCTATCAAGAAATACAACTTTCCGTAGTCGTGCCTCGTTCGATTAACCATCCGTATCAACAACAATAGACAGCCTTTAGCCATTATCCGCACGTCATCGTTATTCAAATTGTTTCACCGATGGAAACCGGCTACACGTCTTCCGCGTCAATTACGTCGAGTTAATTCGCCGAGTGGCAACCGAATGGTAGATACGGTGCGGATGCGGGACGTAGGAATGCGAGACGCGTGCTTAGAATCACCTGGCCTCGGTAATTCGCCTTAATGGGAATATGGCTTTCGAACGAGCAGCCACGTGCTTCCAACCTCGAGTGTCTCAGCCGCGTAATTGCACTGGTTTCACTGGATCCAAACTAGCTGCGTTTCGCGGAAGGATAGAGACAGTTACCCTGTTTTTCTCCGCTCGCAAACTTTCCTGTTTACGCGACGCGTCATGGTGTAGTTACTTTAATTAAAGCTTAGCGCAGCGATGTCAACTTTTAAACGAACGCGTCTCCCTCTTGAACGCCTAGCGCTAAATTACCGGAGATAATGCAGGGAGCGTAGCTGGCTCGAGGGAAACGAGACGACTCAAGACTACGACGCTAAGTCGGGGTAGCATTGATTGTAACTGGAGATCGGGACAGTCTCGTTATGCACGACTATATACGTCCGAGTGAATTAACATAGAATGAGGATACCGCGGGAGGAGAACCTAGCAACTGAAGCTCTGCAAGTTAGGCGTTAGCTAATGCCATTCCGAGATGCAAAGTTCCCCAGCTCGGTTGCCGGATTCTCGTATTTCACCGCGTCATCTTCTCCACTCGGTTGATAAATGAACAGCGATTATACATGTACACTCTGCATAAGTTTTACGACCTTCCGACTGTTCATTAGCTAACAAGAAATCTAACGAATCTCAGTTCATTAATTCTTCTAGTTATACACCGTCCCAAACGGTGTCACTCTGGCAGTATTATCGATGTATAGTACATACGACGGTATACATATAGAAAATCGATTGCGATGTATGTACATTCGGATTTTATTTATAGATAACGTACCACGCGAACATGAAAAATATTACCCAATATTTATGTTGTCAAAAACTCCTACGGACGTAGCCAAGCTGCGCGTTCAAACAACTGGATTACCCCGCGCAAACCCGAGTAGGAGTTTTCTTTCGCGAGTTCTATTCCTGGTTCGCTAACAATGTTGACGTCAGCTCGCCGGAGGAAACCGGCGCAGCGCGACCGACAATATTTGAGCAGCATCCGCCCATAGAGATCCCGTACGAAAGAAATCAGGGATTCCAGATAAAATAAGTCAGACCGGAACGGAGGCGAAGTGACCGAACGAACCCCGCCGACGAAACTTGTACGCTGAGCTAATGCCACTGTAAGGGGCAAAGTTTACCCGGTTTTCCGTCCCTTCGCGCCATATATCTCCCGTTCCATCCTGTTTCTCCCGCGGACCAGGGATTCCTGGTGTCCGCGAGACGCGTATACACAGCGGCGTGTCGCTACTCGAAACGGGACCATTTCACGGTGTCGCGTCACACTCCATAAAACGGATTATTCTCGCTTACATGTATTATCGTTGAATCGAGTATAAAGGAAACGTACAACGACGTAGTACAAACACGGAGAACCATTATTTGCTCGAATTAGTGAAGACTCAATTTGTTATCTTCGCTCTCTCGAGTTTCTTGAACTGTTAAAGGGATGAATCGAACGAGAAATTACATTTGTTTCTGTTCGTTTGCTCCAGGCACAACGACCTGCCATGGAACATACGCAAGTTCCTGAAGAATCAGCTGAGGGAGTTCAGGTTTGATGACCTGAGGGATACCCACCCTTGGTCACGGAGCGCCTGGAGCCACACGGATCTCAGAAGATTGAAGGAGGGCATGGTCGCAGCACAGGTGAGCTTTAATAACAACCGCAATAACGCGAGCACCCGCGAAAAGACATTAATCCAGAGAAATGTGGCCGTGGCTTCATTTCGCGAATCATGAAACCGGACGATATATATTTCCCCCCAGGCGTCCGTAGACACTGTTCAATTATTCGTCCAGTATCTCTTCCCGCGAGGAATGTTTAGCTGGAAATTCGTGAGGAAAACTCGAAAAGAATCGATGCCACCATTCCAAACACTTTTACCCTCCAACTCTACCCCTCGAGAACTACGGGTCGAAAAAGATTACGAGTCTTCGATCTTTTCCGCGAGAAGAAATGCCAACAATACCTGTCACCGAAAAAACTATTCCCCTGCCTTTTGTCCTCGAAGCTCGGCAATTAGTCTGGCACGCGATTTTTCAGTCCGGGAAAATAAAGTCGCTAGGAAACACCGTAGGAAAAGAGAAAATCGCGTGTCGTCTCACTTAGCAGTTTACACGTAAAAGTTGGTTTTCCTCGGTATTTCAACTGTACGACGTTACCCTTAGAACGGAACCACCGCAAACGCACGAATCGCGTGTCTCCGTTGTGAAATCTTTGTCTTACAACATTTCAATTACTGCAGCTTTCGTTCCTCGAGTTCGTACAACGAATCAAGCAACAAATGAAGCAACATTCCCCCGACAAAACCCTTTTTCTTGGGATTTGTTTGACGCGATAATGAAAATTTGTTGGCACGAATAATTTCTCATTAACCGAGAACATGTGCGTACCGAGCAACTTTAGTAATTAATTTTCTCAAGCTGGATCGAGATTACGCGCCAGTGAAACTTCACCACGTTCCCTTCGACACTTTTTCGATAAATCTCAGGAACGAGTTATCCTTCTTCCGTACAATAAATAAAATTCCCGAGGTGGACGTGTGTATACGAGGACGAAAAATTCCAAGAGATTTTACGGTGACCGTTCGTCACGCCATCGAGTCTGAAAAGCACGAGAAAAAGTTCGCATACCGAGACGTACTTAGGTGCTCTCGAACGAACCGAAGGTTTCACATCTTTCCAGGTTTTGGCAATGAAACGAATCTTTTTTCCACCGGGACTTCGGTCTTCGAATGGTCGCGTTTCAAGAAGGTCCGATCGGAACTTTCGTGTTTCACGAAAATGCGGGAATAACGGAGAGAGGCTTTCGGACCACGTACAGAGAGAGGAACAGGAACTATCTCGCGAGAATAGAAAATTCGCTCTTCCCGTTCACCGCTCTTCTTCCTCCTTTTGTGCCTTTTACTCCTGATGATGGCATTACGTTAAACGATGGAGGGAAGAAGATTGCGGTGCTAACAGAAAATTGTGATTGTTACAGCTATCTCGTGAGAGCGCGAGAGACGAGTAACGCCAGAGCTAAGGCTAGACGATCGAGTAAATCCAACCGCGATAAGCGATTCCTTATACGCTCCGGGAACTGCCAAAAGTACAGCGAACTATAATCTGACAATTTTGCACCCAGAACTCGACCAAACTCATTATCAGGATTAGCATTCACGTGATCACAAATTTATCTAATCTCCTATTACCATCCCTAATATATTAGGTTGGCGTGTATAAGATGTTTCGTTTTTAAAATTGAAAATCATATATCGTATTTTGCCTCATAATTCATATTACGAATACTATTACGAAGATAACACGATAATTTGACACATAGTAAGTATTTGGTTTAGTATTTTCTAGTACACCGATTACTGTCAGGAAGATGAGAAACAGAGGTCGTTTAAAAATCATTCCCTTTGCTTAATCTGTACTCACAGTACATATTTTATGTCCTAAATGATGTCGTTCACCAAAGAAATTGTCCCCTTCGAGAAAAACTTCGCGCGTAACGCGAGGGAATGACTTTTACCTCATAAATCTTGCGTAAACAGGTCGGGCTCCGGAGTTCGAGTGTACCGACGAGGCTGTTTTTCCGCGTGCACTCGAAAGAACCAGAGAAAGAAGCGCGCGCAGCCGTCTACTTGATATTAGACGGACAAATGTAGATCATAATTTCGAGTTCGCGTGTGTACTGAAACCTCGGAGACTGGAGCACATGCCCTTTTCCCGGGCGATGACGAAGGCGACCACCCGAGCCGTGTGTAATGAAAGTTGCTACCTGTGAAATTGCTTTCGCGATGAAATTCGTCGGGCATCGTCCGAGTGTACCGACCCTGGCCCCCGGTGCACTCGTATAATAACTCGTATCAGCCGCGAAGCGACCCGACCTCCACGAGTCTAGACGGGAATGAATATATTTTTGACAGTGTCTCGAGAGCCTACAACAAACCGGGGCTGTTTCAACGCGAGCACGAATGCCAAACCTCGTGGAGTCTGGTGCCTATACATAGAACCGTCATTTCATTCAGACGTAAATAAGACCCGGCTGAATAACCGATATGACCCGATGAAAACGACTTTAGTCCCGTCGACCCTAGATCTCCCGTCGGATAAGAGAACCACCCTCGGAAGTAAAATATTTAAACTCCCGGTCCCCTCGTTCGCAAATTCTATCGTAAACGTTGACGCGCAATCATGTAATATGAATCGACGGCTTTTTCGAGCTCAATGTAAACGCAGCTTTGAAAATAAATTGCGGCTCAGGTGCATGAGAATTCATTATGGATTTTGTAACGAGAATTGTGAAAAGCACAGGTGTTCCTCGAAATCGTAAACGCTTGAATGCTTGCTACGCAGTTCTATTTTATTCAAAACCGTTTTAGTCCGAATACGTTAAAATGAAATTCTATTCAGAGAATCAACAGTCGTGCTCTTAGCCGAATGAACACGCTGTGCAATCTCCACGGTTGTACATAAGAAAACTTACCCTCGGGAGACCTTTGGAAATACCGCAGGCTCGTTAGCAGCAAGTTCCCTCTCGACACCTTCTATTAGGACCTCGTCTACGCGCGATTATGGCAAATGTCCGCTAATGCCTACAATTAGCTTACAGTGCTCGAGTAAACGGTCGAATAGTAAGTTGCGAAAAGAACAGTGTAAACAGGGTGACCGAGTGAATGAAGTGAGCAAAGAATAGCAATTCACTTCCTCGATTAACGCAAGCTTGAAAGCACATGACAAAGAGAGACCGTGCAACTGGAAAAGTTAGAGTCGCTGGAGCCAAAGTAAAGGTGTGCTCCATTAGGTTTCCTACTACCAAAGTGTCACGGTAAGGGACGAAATTCAAATAAGCTTCTTACGGAACAGGGCACATGCGCCAGAACATGTAACCCCGCGACGTTCACGAGACCAATTTAATTAATACCGTAATTAAAAGCGAATACTAATTTTGTGAATAACGACGGAACGCCGGAGGTAGTTATGAATTACTCGCGCGTGCGGGCGCCAATTTGGGGAGGAGTGGAAGTAACGACGTTCCGAGTAGTAAGAAACGCTCGCGGACTTTGGTACGATTGCAGATAGTTGTCGAGCGCGATAACTTCCTCGATAAACAAGGTTACACGAGAGACTGTAGATCGAAATCGGAGGGTTAATACTGTTAGCATATTCGGGGTGTATCTGTTCGTCGAAGCATTGGAACCACTGGCAGCGTAGCCTAATTTTATGGGTCGTTTCTCAACGTCAGACTGTCCTTTAAGGTATTGAGTTCGCTTACATCGAGACGAAAGGGGTGACTAACCGTTTGTGTCCATCGAAACGGACACGTACACACATGCTTCTGTGTACGTAATACATACGCACTATCGGTGTGTATACAGAATCTCGCAAACCGGTCCTGATTCGATTCATCACTGTCCCGCTTAATTCAGGTGGGCAGAAAAGGCATCCGTCGCGAAGAGCTCACGGAAGCATTGATCACTCGTGCTGCTTTCGTAGACTTCATACCACGATCATTCATAATTCAATGAAAACGTGTGAACAAAAAAAGACGGAGAAAGCAACCTGTGTTTCTACTAACGATTCATAGAATTTCGAATGCTGTTTATTACGCGCTCCACAACTCCGTTGCTCAACTTGATTAAACCGAAGTTAATCTTTAATTATGATCTAACAACGTCTATTGTGCATTCTAACCAGTGTGAATTAACAACTATTTTACCTGCACTACCAAACAGGGTATTTACAATTTAAGGAAATATCTGAACGTCTTTTAAAATGAAATAACTTTTTCATTATCAAAAATGACATCATTTTCTGTGGGACCTCTCCAATCTTTATAAGAGATCCCAATAAAAAATTAAAAAATGCGATGTTTTCTCATAAATTATATAAGGAATCTCGGTCTCCTAGCGTTCTACTCTCTTTGATAATAATTCACGATACGTTTAAGCACTTGTTAATACAATGCAACAATGCTCTTCGTTACTAGTGTGTTAATGAATATTACATATCGTACTATGGTTTCCTGGTAAATCGATCGAATAAAACGTATACGCGGCGTTAATGCATAGAAAATCTCGAGCGCTCTACAGGCGTTTCCGATCGCACCCTTAAGCGATCAGCCGCACTCCCTAGCAACTGCAGTTCGATGTTGAATTTCAGTAGATTCGAAATACGTCGAGTGCGCGTTCTATCCGATACGTTCGATCTTCAAGCAGGGACTCGCACATATCGAACGGAAAATCGAGGTGTGTACCGGGAAAAAAAATTCATTCGCGACGAAGTGACTCGCATCAAGCGGCTGGCAAGGATGCTCGAGGCTGGGTTTCAAGCTTCTCGTAAAAATTTCACGAGCGCAAACAAACGTACACGTCCCTAATGTCATGAAATGGTCGCGTCACCAGGCGTATTTTTAAAGTGGGACAACGAGATATTTTTGCGGAATATTTTTACAAACGTCTGACCTCAAGCGACTGGTGTCCAATAAAAAGAGGGAGAAATGGAAACACGCGACAGAATAAGCAAGATTTTTATGAAACATTTAGGAGTAAAGAAGTTCATGTTTAATTAGTAATAACAGAATTACTTAGTTTGTGAGAATTACTTGCAAAATACAATGGAGAGTCTGAAGATGGCAAGGACGTCGCGTTTCAAGATAAAATTCTTTCATAGTAAATAAATTCTTCTTGCGGAAAGAAATTGCTTTGGTAACAGGCTAACATAAAAGGGAATAAAAGAAACGATTGCGTTAATGGGAAATCAAAAGTTCCGTAGAGTGGCAGTCGTTCATAGCGACAATTCGAGGTTGAAAAATCTTTTCGACGGGGAATTAAATTACTGCCGCGTTGCAATTAGCCTCCAGGCGAAGAGTCGTTCAGCTGCTTACAGCTGTGAGTAAATTGTGACTATAAAGGTTCCAACCTGAAAGGTAATGAAGTAGCGGAAACCCGCAGCGACGAAAGGAAATTCGCAAGGTGGAAACAACCGCTCGATGGTATGTACGTGCGTTAAAACAACAGCGAAAAAAAGGGCAGAACAAAGGGAGCGAACCACCTTGTGCCGTTGATTTACGACAGACCGACGACAACGTCACGCCCTGAACGTACATTTCATTCTGATGGTGTTGCAAAATAAAACTCGTGTCACAGCTATCTGCGTTGCAGGCGGAAAACGGCGAAATTGCTGGACGAACGACGGAAGGATTTTGAGAAAAATTTGGTCCGTCAGTCGCGATCGGTCAATTTCGAAGCGAATGAAGACCATAAATCGATCATAGGCGATCTGATACCGATCAAAGTTACACAGAAATCATTGGTACGTGACCATGACAGTGCAAATTTATACCGACGTTCCATAAGACGCGTTATATTCTCGAAGAATCGAAGGATCTTATTCCCGAAATCGTCGCGCACACGATGGTAATCGTGTCAAACGACTTGCTTTCGTTTGACGCGCGACAACCATAAAACTACGGTTTTTATGCCGGCTCACGTTCAACCCCTTGTAAACTCGTATGAAATATCACGGTTCGTGTTTAATCCTCAGGATCTGATACATCGGTTTAATTTACCCCAAGTAGAATATATTCTTAGCCGGTGTGTGTATATCACGAGACCCGCCCGGATAAATACACTCTTATTTATGGATACCGATACCCTACATTTAAAATTCAAAACGGCGTCCACCCGCTTCCGTAATGCGCTTTTAATTATTCTTGCTTCTACCTATTGATACATTACTCTCGTTTAAATAAATGAACAGAAATATATTGCCGTTTAGTATCAATTTATCACTGAGTACAGTGGAACGCGTATTTAAGTAGTATAGTCAACGAACGGTCAGGCACGAGAAAGGCACTCGTTACTACCGCTACTTGCCATTCATTTTTAAACCTTCATTTACGCATCGTGTACTTATAAATAGCATAAAAGTCATTTAAAATTTGTATATTTTTATTACAGTTCTGGTCAGCTTACGTACCTTGCTCCTCTCAGTATCTCGACTCGGTCCAGCTGGCCCTCGAGCAGATCGATCTGATTCGTCGGTTGGTCAACAAGCACCCTGAAAGCATGGTCCTCGTTACTACGGCGGAAGGTGAGCGATTTAGACTGTAATTCTACACTTTCTCTAATTCTAACTCGGAGACCGTGCATTTGATCGTGTTCACGTAGGTGCGCTCTCGAATTACGGGATACTTAACACTTCCACAGAGAAAACGGATAGATAACACGAAACGGTTTCACTTCCAAATAATTTTTCGAGCTAAACGGCCTTTGCGAAAACGAACCATTGACGAGGAACACGCGACGGCTACGAGTTAAACATCGCGGTCCGCGAAGATAAATTTTCAATCGGCCCGGGCACACGTTCGTTTGGCGACAGGCCAGAACGATTCGATTTTCCCCTCAGGCGAATCGCTGTCGGAGTACGCGCGTATCGATTCGTCAAAGAATCTCTATCGGGAAAGCGCGCGCGACCTATTTTTTCATCCCTCAGAAACAGGAACAGACGCCACGCTTTCAAACGCGACATCACGAGGATATGCAAACCTCGATGCGATAGACGGGAAAACTGATCCTAGGATAACAACACTTGTTTATTCCCCAAACATAATTTTGTTCACGAATAACCGAGACCAGTCATTACATCCTCTCCGGGCTATTAGATGACTGGTTCAAAGCTCGCATTAAATCATCAGATAAAGTAAACCCTGTTCCATCGACACAGGACGGAACATTCCGGGCCTCCTCAAAGAATTACGTTTAATGGAATCGCCGAACTGACTCGCAAGTCAAACAAGAAATTGTTAATTGCCAATCAACTCTCGTATAATGCAAACAGGCCGACGGCGCGTTCATCCTTGGAGATACACAACTTCCCCGCGACTTTCGTTGTCGCTGGTGTATCTTTCGTGAACTCAAAAGGCGACAAGATTTAACGCAGTGACTAGCGCGAACGAACCCGTGTAGGGAAACATTTATCTTTCGGATGAAAATAATCCACTGGATAAGATTCATATGAAACATTGTAAGCGTCTCCTCTCGAGACGAAGATACATCCTTGGACACCTTTAGTCATCGATTTTCGAAGGAAAAGCCGGCCACGTTTTAAGACGTCGGCCTGGGTGATCCTCCAAGCTGCGAGGCTTCACACGCGGAGAATATGAAATCGAGCTTCGAGGTCGACGAACGACGGGAATTACCATCCCTATTTGTTCCCGGAATGGGCCGTTCGACGTAACACACCGGCAGAATTTCTGGCCGACCGCCAATGTCACTGGTGGTAGCGGTTGGCACATGCCCCGCGCGGAAAGAATTCCCGGCGTTTTCTACCTTCAAGAGAGCAACGAGTTTCGGCGAGCGAACCGTCTTCCTCCTATCGCGTCGCGACGTCGCTTCCTCGTCGTCCCATTTTAATTAATTCCTCGTCACGATCAAACAGCTCGCGAGACGTCGACCAGGATAATAAATGGACTCGATGAAGAGTCGCCTACTCGGATCTTTTCGGGACGTGCACGGAAAACGATCCACCGCGTCTGTCGGGACCTCGGGGAAAATTTACGCACGTACGATATGAAGTGGCGGATGCCGATCGAGGTCGACGAACGTCCGACGTCTCGTGTTTGCTTCCGGCCGGTCGTTCGACGTCGCGCATCCCCAAGATTCGCCTGGACGGATGCCAAACGTCCGAGGGAAAACACGACCGAGCCCCTCCCGGCGCGGCGTCGTGGAAAAATCGGACCGGCACTTCCCATTATTATCATCATCGTGTATACGCTTTCGGGAATTTAGGATGCGCCTTTTAAGTCACGAGGGAGGGACGCGATCTTTCGAAAAGAAGCCATCGTTTCTGTTGAATGGAACATCTCCTTTGCTACTAGCCGTAAATACTTTGAACGCCCCAGAAAAGAGATACTTCGCAATTCCTTTAAAAGAAGAATTTTATGCAATTTTTATATCTAACACTTGCTAACTAAATTGATAACACGCATATTCTAGATTATTCCATAATCTTAAAAGAAATGTTGTATATAAACTGAAAAATATTTAGAAAGAATTTTAATACATCGAATTAATAATACAGTAGAATCTTAATTATCTGCGGGATAACGCCGAGCAATTGGAATAATAAAGACCCACGTACTATTCCTATTTCATCATTATTAATTTCGGACACGCGAAATTCAAGTAAATGGGGTTTTACTGTATTCATAGTTTTGGAGGATATGAAAAATACAATACGAAAAAAATTGTTATTTCTGTTATTTGATTATACGAACTTACGAAAAATACGAAATAAAAACAGAGAAAAGGACAGCAGGTGTACAACAAAAGCAAAAACAGTGAATATCAATGGAATCCATATTGACCAACTATAAATTCGCCCAGCAAATGGAAAAATGTAGAATCTCCATTCCACCGTGCTCGATAAACAAAACCGTGACGACTGCATGTCGGCATGCACATGCATACGTAAATAGACATGCAATATTCGTAGAAAGAAACGATTTTCTTCACGGTCTTAAAAGCAAACCTTGCTTTCCTTGACTGATTTATGCAATGCGCAATATCAATAAGTTACGGACATTTGTCAAGAGCAATCGCTTAATGACTGATAATGGCAAGATGAGACACAATACGACATCACTTGAATACTCATTGTTACGAGAAATCAAACTTTTACTTTACTGATTCCAAGACAGTCTCTTTATATACATAGAATAGAACATTTGGTGTTACTCACATTTTATAAGACTTCTTGACGATACCAGAGGCACATTTTCACAAGAGCAATAAATAATTAACACGAACGAAATTGTTAACCTATATGAACTACGTGACGAACGACGCACATCAGACCTAACTTCCGCGCGTCACTTCACGAAGCTGCCCGACATCAGGCACGAAGATTAACGATTACGCACGATCTTCAATTCGTTCGACGAAGACACGACACTTTATTTTGATATCAGCATCGGCACTCGGAAATAAAATAATGGGACAGGATTCCGAAAACTCTCGTGTTTTCCTCAACCACCGCTGCTTGAAAACTTTCAATGCTAGGAGCTTGTACTTTACTTCGTAAAAATAACAATTAGAAATGTCCTGCGTATTTTTCTCGCATATTTATTTTTGCGTCCGTATTAAGTCTTTAATTCAATTGAACACCAATTGGCAATTAAGGTTTGATTTTTTACTCGAAATTGACTACTTATGTTAGAGTTGAAGTTATTTAATTAACTCAATTGGAAGGAATGTGAATTATCAATTGAATATCTGTTTAGGGTTTAATGATTCAAGTGTTTTGCGTTTTTTCATTCTCCTACAATTTTTACAGACCTTTGAAGCATTTTTCGCATGCATGGTTTGATCAATGTTTCGAGTAACTAAATATAATATCTTCGGTTATAATTCCAATTCAGCATTTTAATCCTTAAGCGGATTATTGAGGCTGTTCCAGTTACGTACAATTTAAAATTAATAGTTAGAGTTAGTAGGAAGTTACGCGTGTGGCGATAAAGTGTAAATCAATGGGCGCGGTAAATTATCGATTCATCGACAACATATTGCTACTGTTTATTTTTCGGTCGCTCCTCCGCTATGCGTTTGACGTACCATAATTGGTGGTTACCCGCGAGTCAGATGGTAGAATTAAAGTTGTCCGAAACAAATGGTACTGGACATTCAATGTATCATTAAATGTCACGAACGAATTAAGGATGTATAAGCTATTATACTTAAATAATGCTAGCATGTTGAATTTGTTATGCAAAATTTTAAATCAATTTATGGGTTTCTTGAAAAATTATAGTGACTTAAAATTTGCATGTACTCTTATGGTAATCAGCAGTAATCCAAAGAAGGTATTTGGTGTGCACGTGCGAAGT